GTAATTTTCTTATCTTTTTTATGTTCTGAAACAGATTATATAATAGAAATTCCTTAAAATTTTGAAAGCATTTAACTATAAAAACATCTAGGTCGAGTCCTATTTCGAGGTAACTTGATAATTTCTCAAATCTAGTATTTTCTAATCCTTGAATCAATAATAATAAATTATATTTCCCCAGAATATGTTCCATTGCTGTGGACTGAATGTTTGTGTCCCCACGAAATTCGTATGTTGAAATCCTGACATCCAAGGTGGTGGTCTTAGGCAGTGGAGCCTTTGAGAGGTGACTGGGTCATGAGGGCAGAGCCCTCGTGATCGCGGTTAGTGCCCTTACAAAAGAGGCTCAGAGAGATCCCTCGCCCCCTTCCACCATGTGAGGTTACAGGGAGAAGATGACTATCTATGAGGAAGGCAGCCCTCACCAGACACGAAATCTGCCAGTGCCTTGATCTTGGACGTCCCAGCCTCCAGAACAGGGAGAGATAAATCTCTTTTGTTTATCAGCCACCCACCACTTTATGGTATTTCATCATAGCAGCCTGAACTAACTAAGACATCCATTTTATAGACTTTCGAATTTCTCAGTAAGCAACTATACAGTCTTCTCTTATACTTTTTAATACCCACACCAAAGACAAAACTAAGTGTATAAGCAGGAAACCAACATAACGGCTTTTTAGAATCTGTTCTTCACAGAACACAAAAGGAAGGCTACCAGGTGCTGGCCAAAAGTAAAGAAAAATCAAAGAGGAAAAGACAGGAATTAGTTGATCCCCTTCAGGCAATCCAACACTGACAGATAAGAAAGCTGGGCCAAACGGTATCCATGGAGATCTGGCAGCTACTTAGTTTCTAACAAGACAATCCTGACCTGCCAAAAGACTGTAGAAAATTCTCATCTGAAGTTAAAAAAGGAAAGAAAGCAAAATGATTTTATTTTGAAGTTATAGCTCAGAAAACAATACATTACATGATTCTTCCCATTACTTTTAAGTTTTTAGTCAGTTTTGAAGATTTATTAGAGTTATTCAAACAGTTCATTATTAGGTTATTAAAATTCCTTTTTTTTACTGGCCTACACCTAGAATCAACCTGATTGATGGATTCTCAGTCCTTCAAAGAAGAGATTTAGAGAGAATTTCCCTGGAGATTTTCCCTCAAACAGGACTTACAAGACCAAAAGGACACTTACTCTGCAGTTCTTGACAACTATAGCAGGAATAAACTACGTGGAAAGATTATAAAGCTGAATTTGAAAACACAGCCAAGGAACTCAAGTTTACATTCCTATGTTACTGTTCTAAGTCATATAGTCAGTACACCTCAGTTAGTACTTTGAATTATACCTGAACTCTGCTATTTAAACTTACCTTCCCATTGGACCAGCCAGTTATCAGCTCATGCACACCATCAGAATTAAGGTCAAATGCATGAATACTCATGGCATGATTTTTGGACTGAAAAAGAATTCCAACAATTAGTATAGAAGTCACTCAATAAGTATAAAGTCCCTGAATATCAGAAGCTTAATCATACTAACTTTAATTCTCCAGTATCGGGTTGTTTTGTCATAAACCCCAACTGTGCCATTGGAAAGGGCATAACCAAATCGACTGCCGTACATGGGACAGAGAGAGGTGATTATCTGCAAAAACAATACATAAAAATACAACATCTTTTCATTAAGGCTCAATTTAATGTGAAGTATGGCTTTATAAAATTGCAC